GAGCCTTTTTCCGGATTGTAGAGTCGTCGCGACAAGCCTTTGGACGGCAAGAATGAGTTGGCCGTTCTAGTACAGCTAATTAGCTCATTCTTGCCTTTTGTGCATTGCAAAATGGCGAACTGTACAAGGTGATGTGTTGCTAAAGAGAAGATAACACACAGGGGGGTCACCACACAGTGAAAATACCTGGATGGCAAGCAACATTAGTGATACCTAGAACCCAAGGAGCATTGGTCTTACCGCTGATGCAGCCAGTGCTGGTCATGCCATTGCCGGGAGGGCAGATGCAGTATGGCATCTGGCCGAAAGCAAGAGCGCACGTGGCTCCAGTAGGGCAGTTCCCACATGTGGCGGGGCCTGGGGAGGTGGGGACGTGGGAGATGGAAAGTGAGAAGAAGAAGCCATCACCGCACAGCACAGCACAGCACAGCACAGCACAGAACATCATACATGGCATGGGGCAGCACGGCACAACACCGTATAACATACAATGGAACATCACAAAACGAGCTCAGAGGGCAGCAGAACGCAGTAGGGAGCAGCACGCACGCACGCACGCACGCACGCGCACACACGCGCGCGCGCGCACACACACACACACACACACACACACACACACACACACACCCACACACCCATACACACACGCTCGCACAAACGACGCAATGGCTACGGCACCCACAAGCAGTAAGGCAAACAACAGAACAGGACAAATCCCAACTTGAAGTGACTTTTGTATGACCAAAAAACACAGAAGAGGTTATCAAAAGAGGGTGGCTTTCGAAGGGGGTTTTGGAGTTGCCGCCACAACACGCACCGACGCAAATGCCGGAGTTCATCTTGTAGCCGGCCTTGCACACACAGGACGCACCGCCTGCAGCGTCCATCACGCAGTCAGTCGTTGGATCGCAGATCTTGGACCCACAGCCCGCTGAGGGACGACGTCAGAGGGGAGTGGTATGGTCAGAAGAGTAAGACAAGTGAAAGAAGGGGAGAGACAGCACAGCTCGGAGAAACATATAACAGCACACAGCAGCACACTAGCGCACAAAACAGCACACAGCAGCACACTAGCGCACAAAACAGCACACAGCAGCACACTAGCGCACAAAACAGCACACAGCAGCACACTACCGCACAAAACAGCACACAGCAGCACACCACAGTGCACGTCTGCAATAAATCGTAAAAAAACCTCTTATTGTTGTACACTAGTTCACTCTGGTAGAGTAGAGATAGTCACCCAAACCTGGCTTTAAGTGCACAGCTACATTTCATCTTTTTGGGGATTGGGTTCAAACCAACCTTGGCCAATTCATCTGATCGTCAGTCGGAGCTTGGCAGGTAATTAGTGGCATGTCAATACTCCTCGTGGTTCATTAGGATCCCAACCGTGATATCTGGGCCAAGATCCACAACAGCCAGTCCCCCCTCCCTTCCACGACCATGTAAACCTCCCCGATTAGTAATTCAAATGACAAGTTGTCCCAATAGCAGCACATACCAGCGCACGTCCTGCGGTCAGGCTGCAGAACATAGCCGGCGTCACAAGCACAGAAGGCCACTCCTGCACTGTCCTGAACGCACTTGCCGTTTGCCCCGCAGCTGTTGAGAGCGCATTTCTCTGTGAGAGAGGAGGCAACATCAAGGGAACTCTGGTATGGATGGACTTGGAAGCATCTTGTGCGCATAGGGAGTTTGTGGGTTGGAGGGTTGAAGTGTTGCAGGGTTGCAAGTCAGGCCTTGTGCACCGCAAGCAAAGTGGGCAGCAGAATGTTTCGTAAGAAAACACGTGAATGTGTCTTTTATTGACTGAAGGGGCCAGGTGCAAAATGAAATGTTAACTCAAAGTGCATTCTCAGCAAAGAAACGCCAATTATTGACTACAAGTTGACTACAAGTTTTATTGACTAAAGGGGCCAGCAGATACATGGCCCCCACCGTTAAGTGAAGGGGCCAGCAGATACATGGCCCCCACCCACCGTTAAGTAAAGGGGCCAGCAGATACATGGCCCCCACCCACCGTTAAGTAAAGGGGCCAGCAGATACATGGCCCCCACCCACCGTTAAGTAAAGGGGCCAGCAGATACATGGCCCCCACCCACCGTTAAGCAAATGGGCCAGCAGATACATGGCCCCCACCCACCGTTAAGCAAATGGGCCAGCAGATACATGGCCCCCACCCACCGTTAAGCAAATGGGCCAGCAGATACATGGCCCCCACCCACACAATGGCTTCACCAACCAACACAGCAGCACTCACCAAAGATAGAGCAGCCGAAGGAGCGGAAGGGATAACCGTAATAGTTCCTGTTGCATGCACAAACAAAAACAAATATATGTCCGCATGCAAAAACGAGTGGCGAACCAGGCAAGATGGGTTATTGGAAAACGCAGTGCACAAGAGGAGTGGGAGAATAAGAGGGCATGGAGAGGGAGAGGATTGGTGGCAGAGAGGAGGAGGCAGGCAGTAGGTGGAAGATAGGTTGGTTGGTTCAGTGGCTTACGGAACACTTCCAGTGCTGAGACCGGTTCCCGTCGAGAGAGGAAACAAACTATAAGTTCCGATGCACCCCGCCTGGGTGTAAGCGCGGATCTCAAGGCACCTCCCCACGCCTCCAGGGGCGTTCTGCACGCTGCCATACGACTGGATGTCCGGCGCAGAGGAGGCTGTGAGGTTGGTGCAGCCGTTGTAGGTGAGGCGCATGGTGTAGGTGGCGGGTGTTACGCCGTAGCTTGGGAGCGTGTAGAAGGTGAAACTTGTCGTGGAGACGGTGGGGGTGGCGTCTGCAAGGGGAAGGGAAGAACGGTTCGCTGAGAGCGTCAAGGTTGCTAGGGCGCTATGGAAACGCTTGGAAGCATGCCGAAGAGGAAACTAGGATTATACATAGAGGAGGGAAGCGTTGTTGAAGGTGAATACAGCAGAGGATGAAAGGCCAAGGGGGGGATGCTTTGTCCTGATCAAGTAGCAACTTTTTTCTCTCATTTCCTAAGAGCCCTCTCAAAGCAATGGCGTACCTAGGACGCAACCAACGGCGGTCATGCCAGAACCGGGAGGGCAGAGGCAATACGCTGATGAGCTGTATGGAGCTGGAATGCAGCTGGCTCCTGCAGGGCAGACCCCACAGCGGGAAGATGAGTCTTGTAAACACAGGAGGCCACGCCTGCAGCGTCCTTCATGCAAACGGAGACCGTAAGATTGCAGCTTTTGATGGCACAGGTGTCTGGATGGAGGTGGGATGGAGGGAGAGGAACGGAGTAACAAGTCAGGTAGGCACATGACTTGGGGCAGGCGAGGTTAATGCTGCTCAATCGCCCAGAAAAAAACTTGGACGAGTTACTCGACTCGACTTGACAGCCATTCGAAGCTCGTCTAACCGAGTCGGAGTCAAGAAGAACCCGATTCGCCCAATGCTCATGTCAATGGCATATCATACTTAGCATTTGGCATAGCACAAGGCATGGCAGGAAACATGGCACAGCACATACATGGCATCGCACATACCAATGCAAGTGGAGCCATCAGGCTGCAGCACGAAGCCAGTGCCACACACACAGGACGCCACTCCTGCAGCGCTCTTCACACACTTGGTGTCACCAGCACAGTTTTTTAGCGCACATGTGTCTGCAACTGCCAAGGCGGAGGGCCACAAGGAACAGTGAATGGGAAGGGCAACATGTGTATGACGAGGAACAGGGAGTTCTTAGGCATGGATTGGGAGAAGGAACAGAGTGAGTATGACATGTGGCAGCACGTACCGGTGCATCCTGCCAATCCTTTGACATAGTTCCAGGGAGCAGCGGTGCTTAGGAGGCGGTTTAAGCAAGTAGGAAAGACTGTAAAGTAGGCACGTAGGCAAGCAGCAAGTGAGTATGACAGGCGGCAGCACGTACCAGTGCATGTCCTGCCATCAGTTTGAAGAACAAAGCCAGCGTCACAACCACAGGAGGCCACTCCAGCGCTGTCCTTGGTGCACGTGGCGTTGCCACCACACCGCTTGAGCACACATGTGTCTGGAGGGGGGAGGGAAGGGGGATGAGCAAGTGAGGAGATTTGGACTGAAAATAACAGGCGAAGGAAAATTACTAGCCCGCCCACATGACAAGCCTCTACAGGATGGAGGGAGCCCGACACCTGACAGGCTCCCACTCCGCTTCTTTACACCCTGCTCGTAACACCTTGATCCTGACAACCAACACACACCAGGCTGCTCACACCGGGTAATTCAATCTTTGCCTGAAAAAATGGGAGTGCCTTGAATACCAGGCTCCTGGGACCTACGTGAATACGATTGGACTTCTGTCACGACGATGAAGTACTTCTCAAAGGTCTCCGCGTAACGTTTGCGGATTTACACAAGGGATAACCACAAATTGTCTAGCAGTCTAGGGCACAGGGCGCTATACCCAAGTGCTAGCCTCGAGACAACGTCTGTGTAAAGACACAGGTCTACCCAACCACACAGAAGCACTCACCAGCAGCACTAACCCCCTCAACAGAAGTCAACCAGACAGCAGCATTCAACTCAACCAGCAGCGGCACTCACCAACACAGCCTTTAGGGGTCATGGCGAATCCGAGGTTGCAGATGCAGGTGGCGTTGCCCTTCTCCTTCACGCACACCGCATTGGCGCCACAGTTCCTCTGCACACATGAATCTGGCGGGATGATACTCAAACAGAACAGAGAGGGAGAGGAAGGTATGAGTAGAGCTCCTCTTCACGCACACCGCATTTGCGCCACAGTTCCTCTGCAGACACGAATCTGCCGAATTATTTCATGAAAGAAGAGAGAGGACAAGAACAGCGAGAGGAAAGGAACAGAGTGGAGGAGAAAAACATGAAGGAGAGGAAAGTAGGCGAGGAGAGGAATAGGGAGGAGATGAATAGGGAGGAGAGAAATAGCGAGGTGATAGTATGGTATGGGACATGGAGAGATGGAGTGGCAGAATGCAAAGAGTGCTGGGAATGGCCCGCCTCACACCCTAGTATAAGAGCTTCCTAGGCAAGACCGGAGAAACTTCTGAGTGTGGCCATAAAAAAGGAAAGGAGGGGGGGGGGGGGAAGGGGAGGAGGGAGGGGGGAGAAAGGGAGGAGGGAGGGGGGGAGAAAGGGAGGAGGGAGAGGGGGCGAAGGGGGGGATAGCCTGGGAGTGTCATTTTCTTTGATGGTAGAGGGCAAGGAGACAGATGGGCAGTGCAAGGGTTCTAATCAGCCCCCCCAACTATTGGTTGCTGACTTACGATCTGCGGCTTCACTCGTAGCTGGTGGGCTGGCGGCAGCAGCCCTGGGAGTACAGGCTGAGAGCGGGTGGGGGAGAGAACGGGAGGGAGGAGAATGGGATGAGGAGGGAGGGAGGCAAGGGTGAACGGGGGAGGCGAATGGCAGCAACGGATGCTGCTCGTAGCTGGGAAAGGCAGCCCTGGGCGCACGGGGCCAGGGAACAGGGGGAAACAGGGGGATTAGGGGGAAGGGGGAACAGGGGAAAGGGGGAACAGGGGAAAGGGGGAACAGGGAGAACAGGGAAATGGGGGTACAGGGGAACAGGGGCACAGGGAAAAAGGGGAGCAGGGAAAAGGGGATCAGGGAAAAAGAGGGAACAGGGAAAATGGGGAACAGGGAAAATGGGGATCAGTGAAAAGGGGGAACAGGGAAAAGGGGGAACAGAGAATAAGGGGAACATAGAACAAGGGGGACAGAAAAATAAGGGGACAGGGAGAAGGGGGCATAGGGAAAGGGGACAGGGAAACAGGGGGACAGGGAAAAGGGGGAACAGGGGAAAGGGGGAACAGGGAAAAAGGGGAACAGGGGAAAGGGAACAGGGAAAGGGGGAACAGGGAAGAGGGTGGCAGGGAAAAAAGGGGACAGGAAAAAGGGGGGACAGGAAAAAAAGGGACATAGGGGGCAGGGAAAAGGGGGAAAAAATAAGGAACAGCGAAAATGGGGAACAGAGAAAATGGGGAACAGGGAAAATGGGGAACATGGAAAAGGGGGGACAGGGAAAAAGAGGAACAGGGAAAAAGAGGAACAGGGAAAACGGGAAACAGAGAAAAAGAGGAACAGGGAAAAGGGGGAAAGGTAGGGACGGGAATCATTCACGAAGGCGAAAAAGGGCGGCGGGAGAGAACGGAAAAAGACCACCAAAATTAACAGTCCTAAATCCGTCCCGGATCTGTCTGAAAGTTTCATCGAGGACCAAAGACTGCGAGCACGCGACCTATAAGTGTATTTTAGGACGTAATGTACCTGAGAGCATGAGAGCAGCCAGTGCAGCGAGCACGAGGCCAGAGAGCCGCTTTACAGCCATGAATGCGGAGGCGCTATGCCGATTTTTGGAACTATTAAGACTACGCGTCGGCGGCCAGTAGGTTAAACTTAAGCTCTGTCACTACTAAGAACTTGTGTCACGGAAAAAGGTGTTTCAAGTAGTTTCGCGACGACGATATCCGGCTTCAGTAATCAGAAGAACTAATTGTTGTGAGACAGGAAGACCAGAAAATAAATCAGGTAAGGCGTGGAACATAAGATTCGTAATTCGTCACGAACGAGGTGGAGGTCACTTGTTTCGCGAATTCGTCAAGGATTTTGTGCGTGATTGGTCGAAAACAGTCGCAGTTTGGTGTGTGGCTGGAACACGCTGTTCAAACATGGGCGAACGAGCACGTTCAAATGAGTCGTGGATGCAGGTTGAAATGACGCACGAATCCCAAAAGTGAACCTCGCACAAAGTCGCACTTGACAACACTGGTCACCTGCACGTCCTGAGCGTCGCCACGTTACTCTTGGCATGCGTGTAGTCGATTTCCCTGTTGGCGAATAGTATGTGTTCAGAAACGAAAAATAACGATGTCGGTGATATATACCGTCGCAATCAGTCGCAAGTTCCAAAACGTTGTAAAATGTTGCGGAGATGTTCAGACATTGTCCGAACCCGAAAATTACCATTTACGGCGATCTGAACCAAGTTCCACGCCTTCACCGATTCATTACTAGGGGGATGTGCACACAACGATGGCAGCGAAGGCGGACTTGAACCTGAAAGTCCATCTGGGATACAGTCGTCAGGCGGGCAGCCGGCTAATCTGCGCCTCAGCAGAGACGCAACGCAGGTGCAGCCTTCGCCGATTGTATGCGGGCTGGTTGAAGGTGGAACGAACTGTACAGTGCAACGCTGGCGGTACAGCAATGGAGGGAGTGAAGCAAAGCCAGTGTATTCATTTTCACGTTTTTCCAAATCTGTTTTGTACTGTAAAGCGCATTTGAATGGGAACACGCATGCATTGAATATACTGTGGATATTACTGTGGATATTTTGAAGTCGTTTTTTTGCGGAAGGTCAGGTGATTTTACTGTTAAAGCCTGTCTGCGGTTTCCGCCGTCAATACACAAGATCTTTATCGTTACACCTGGTTTGGAGCCTGAGCAGTAAAAATGACGTGGCATCGAATGCCAACAACTTCAGCGAAACAAATCGACAAACGACATGGTGGGATGGGACCTCACAACCGTGGCGCGGGGTGGCGTGATACTGTACGTGTGAACAAAACAAGAATGATGCGGTCCTTTCTGCTGATCCCCCCCCCAGCAAATAGCCTTTCGACTGGACACCTTGCTAGGGCTCCAACCCGTTATGTGATTGTAGCGCACCTTGTAAAAATCCGAATTTTAATTACAGTTGATGGCTGCCCAACCTTAGCATGTCATTTTGTCCTTAATCAAATAGACTGATGAACCGAACTAATGAGTTTCGCCTGCCTCGCCACGTTCGCCACGGAAAATATTGGGACTATAAGTTGCCAGTGGTGACACTTTCAAAATATCTTAAGCATGATACCGGTATAGTAAAAGCGCTCAAAAGCGCTCTTATGTCACATCCGCTGTGTCTTCCCCCTCCGCGCACACTTCTTCTGTGGTATATCTCTACTTGTAATGAGAGCCAACACATTTGTGAGTCCTCCTACGGCTTAGCTGAAAGGGGAACACAGATGTCAGGGGGCAATAAAAAGTGGGCAGAAATGGGCAAGCGAGATCAAGGGGATGTAGATGAGGGGTAGATTCAAGGAACTTTGCAGGGGGGGGATGAAAGGAACGCAAAAGGAAAAGGTGGCTTATGAAGAGGAGGGGGGGAGGAGAGGGGGGAGGGGGGGACTTGCACTCAATGAGGGAATGGATGGGACTGAAGAGGGTATGGAAGAAAGGCAGGGGGGGAAGGATTTGCACGTGAGTGGGCTACCTAAGGAAGGCAAGGGGGAAACGGATGGCACACAAGAGGGGAGATAAAGGCATTGAGCGGGATTTGTGAAAAAAAAAAAAAAAAAAAAAAAAAAAAAAAAAAAAAAAAAACAAAGAATGCCTCAAAATTGCTGGTTGCAAATTACGGGGACACACTAGGTAGGTTTGGAGAAACACAGCAGCACTCACCGACACAGTAGCACTCACCAACACCATTGCAGCTGAAGGAGCGGTAAGGGTACCCGAGATACTTGCTGTGGCATTCCATGTAGGCATGCAGAGATGAGAGGAAAAACGGGTGGGGGTGCATGGCACACAAAGGAAGGTTTTTTGAGATGCCTCAAATAGTAGCGGTAAAGAAACCCGAGATACATGCCGGTGCATTCCATGTGCGCATGCAGCAATGAGAGGAAATGGGGTGGGGAATGCGTTGCACGCAGGGTCGGGGGGTTGGGGGGGGTTGAGACATCTAAAAAAGGAGAGGTAAGGATACTCGGGATACTTGCTGTTGCATTTACGCAAGCAGGGAATGGAAGGGGTGGGAGAAGAGGAATGAGCAAAACGGGGTGGCGAATGCATAGCACACGGGGGGGGAAGAGGGATGGAAGCGGAGAAACTGGAGGGAGCAACTAGCAGAGTCATGGTTCTGGGTATGCACATAACCCAGAAGGCAAGCGGGATGTGGCATGCAAAGGAAGGAGGGTGGGGGGGAGAGGGAGGGGCAGCCAGGTGAATGGAGTGAGTAAGATGCAAGGCCACTGGTCATGTGCCGGTGTGCGCGACAAACCAGGAGGCTAGAGGAAGATGACATGCATGTCATCTCCCTCTAGCAGAAGAAAGAAGCAGAAGGTAAGAAGCATAGTTCATTTTCAGTATTACGTATCACGGGAGTGCGTGCAGGTGTGTCTTGGGTGTGCAGGTGTGCGTGTCATGTATGTGTGCGTGTCATGTATGTGTGCGTGTCATGTATGTGTGCGTGTCATGTATGTGTGCGTGTCATGTATGTGTGCACGCACGTATGTGCGTGCGTGCGTGCATGCGTGTGCGCGCGCACCATCACGCATGCATGTAACCTCGCAAACTTGTTGCGATTCCAGACTCACGTGAAACCCAGGCCGGTGCTGGTTCCGTCCGATGCGCTGGGTTTAGACGACGTGTACGTTCCAACGCACCCTTCCTGCTCATACTCATTCAAACTCACACACTCCCCCAACCCTCAGTGAACTCCTCACAAACTCACGTGAAACCCAGGCCAATCATGCTGGTTCCGTCCGAAGCACTGGGAGACGATGTGTACGTTCCAGCACACCCCTCCTGCTCATACTGGTTCAAACTCACACACTCCCCCACCCCTCCAGGAGCCCCGTCTAGCCGCCAAGTGGACCAGACTTCAGAGGCAGCCGAGGCAGGGAGGGTGGTGCAGGCGTTGAATTCGAGGCGCATGGTGAAGGTGTTGGTTGTGATGGTGTAGCTTGGCTGATCGTAGAAGGTGATGCTGGTGGAGGAGACGGTGGGGTTGGCGCCTGCAGTGCAGCATGGCATGGCATGGCATGGGCCGCCGCCATGGTGTATGGCATGAGCAGAATGGCATGAGTCGATAGGGGAATCGAGGGATATGAAATGAGGCCCGAATGGCGTGGGGAAAGGATGCGGCAAGGGCACGCAGAGCAAACAGCATAGCATGGTAAGGGGTAGCAGAACGTGGGGGGGATGAGAAGGAAGAAGAGGTAAGGTGGGGGGCAATGGGGAAAAGGCGCGTCAGAGAAGCTGGGGGAGATGGGGGAGATGAAAGGAGAGGGAGGTGGAGTGCAAATGGAGTCGCTGGTAGAAAAAGGGACAGATGCGAGGGCGGCGATAGCAAAAGCAGAGGACAGGGGTTGTTGCTAGTGGAAGGAAAAAACAACATAAGGGGGTCAAGAGGTGGGAGGAAGGGTTGGAAGGGAAAACAATTATGTGGGGTTGTGAGCAGCTTCGGTCTTATGTACGCTGCAAGCAAACATTTCGCCATACCTAGAGTGCTAACAGCCTCGGAGCTTTCCGCTGATGCAGCCAATGCTGGTCATTGCATTGCCCCGAGGGCAGATGCAGTATGGAAGAACCCCCGAGGTAAAGAGGTGGGAGGGGAAAGAGTGAGATGTGGTGCAAGTAGCATTGGGCTTACCGCTGATGCAGCCAGTGCTGGTCAGGCCATAGCCGGGAGGGCAGATGCAGTATGGAATGAAGCCGAAAGCAACAGTGCACGTGGCCCCTGCAGGGCAGCTCCCGCATGTGGCGGGGCCTGGGGGGATGGGGAAATGGGAGGGGATGAGGAAGAAGGAGAAAATAACTCATCACGACACATCTTGATAAGGAAGGACAAAGCAACCGTGCGGGTGGCCTGTTGAGGTGGGGTGGGGAAGAGGGTGGGAGAGGACAGCAGCATGGTGCAGCAGGGGACAACGCAGAACAGCATGATACAGCTCAGTGCAGCACAGCACGGCACAGCATGGCACGGGATGGCACTTCACGCCACGCCACGCCACGCCACGCCGCACAGCTCATTGCAGCACAGCACAGAACGGAACAGCACAGCATGGCATGATGCCGTTTGCATGAGATGGAAACAATGGGTCACGGAGGGAGGCAAACACGGGAGCACCGAGAGCAGCACAGAGAGCAGCACAGAGAGCAGCACAGAGAGCAGCACAGAGAGCAGCACAGAGAGCAGCACCGAGAGCAGCACCGAGAGCAGCACAGAGAGCAGCACAGAGAGCAGCACAGAGGGCAGCACAGAGAGCAGCACAGAGAGCAGCACCGAGAGCAGCACCGAGGTCCCATTATTAGACAGGCTGAACTCAGAAAGGTTATTAGTCTGAGCTGTTTA